CTTCCACTACTGGACTCATCAGTAAGGCATTGTAGTGGAAGCCTACCTTATCGCCTTGGTAAGTTATGAAATCGAGATTCTATATAAAGAGATATACGCGTGTCTCAGCACTTACGAGAATTTGCGAATATCGATAGACCTCTGATGGCGAGTCGACGTAGTGATATTCTTCGCAATATTTATCTAAAGTAGAAAATAACGTTCTATTAATATATGTAGCTTATACATTATCTCTTTTATAAAAATAATAATTAATCTTAATCATATAAATCGAATAAGGTTTTTTTTTAATAAATAAATTATTGATAATTTTTCCTTCAAGAACAGTTCTTATTTCAAACATTTTTCTTTTACTTTTTAAAAACATTTACTTTGATGCAATTCAATATTCTATATTGTCGCATAATTTACATGAATATATAAGACATTCTATTCGAGGACCCCGCGGTCTGCCGATCGTGGGAAACATATTCGACGTAAAACGTCTGGTCGACGAGACGAAGTTTTATTCTCATGCCTGGTGTCGGTTAGCCGACATTTACGGACCTATCATCGGTTTGAAACTCGGCATAGCCGAACCGCTGATTATTGTTTCCGGTAAGGACGCGGTAATCGAAATGATGAGTCGACCTCAGTTTGATGGCAGACCTAATGGATTTATACATAAACTTCGGACGGGGGGTGAAAGGAGGGGTGTATTATTCACCGATGGCGATATTTGGCGAGATCAAAGAAGGTACTCTGAATACAATTATTATGAAGCTTAATTATTAAAAATCGTGTGACTTAATCTAATGCACAAAATACGCTTTGGATATAAATATAAACCAATAAAAAAACATTATATTAAATCATTTTTTTCAATAAATATTACATTTCAGTATGGATTGTATCAATAACTATTGTTTAACAATTTCTTAATATTTTTAACGAAATTTTTTAAATATTTTTTAAGATCAATCTTTAAAACATCATTGTTGTGTTATTTTCTTCAAATTACAACTTGTTACAAATTATTCAGATTTGTTCTGAGAACATTGAAAGAATTTGGATTCGGAAATGTTACGATGGAAGATATAATATTAAACAATGCGGTTTCCTTAACGAATACGATAGAATCGCTGACTAAATTGGGACCCATCACCAATTTATACAATATTACTTCCATAGCCGTTCTCAATAGTTTATGGACATTAGTCGCTGGAACAAGGTACGCTGCAAAGCGTATTGTAAATTAAATTCAAAACTATGAAATTAAAAATAACATAAAGACATATTGTTGTAGATTTGACTTGGATAATCCGAAGCTAACAGAAATTTTATTAGTGGTAAACGAGATTGTAAGAAATACCAACGCCACCGGCGGTATATTAACTCATTTACCATTTTTAAGACATATTATCCCGGGATTAACCGGATTTACCGCACTAAATCAAAGATGGACACGATTGTGGCAATTTATCAGAGTAATGCAATATTCCTGTTAGATATAATTTCTATATATTTCTAGATGTAAATACAAGATGTCCTTATAAATAAAACAAAATAACGTCTTTTTTTAGACCGAAATAACGAAGCACAAACAAACTAGAACACATGGCGAGTACAGAGATTTTATCGATGTTTATCTAGCGGAAATGGATACTAAGCAATCAAGCTCTACTATATCGTCTTTTGATGGTACACATTGTGTCACAATGTACATAATTACTAGGGTCCGAACGTTCGGGCTCGGTCACGGGCTCCGCGCGGAGAACCGCTGTGCGCGAGTGAGACGCTTACTGAAAAAATTCTCCGCTTTGTTTACATTGAGTCCACTGCGCCGCGCGCCAGCGGTTCTCCGCGCGAAGCCCGTGCCCAAGCCCGAACGTCTGGATCCTAATAATTATATAAAAGAAAAATTTTTTATGTACAATAGAAGTGCAAGTTTAAATATATATTACATTTTCCGTTAATTGTTAAATATAAGACTTTTAAATTAAAGATTTATTAGATTTTTGTACATCATAATTTATAAAAACAGAACATAGTATTAAACGAAAAAAAAAAAAAAACAGAAACATTTTATCTTTATATTTTATTTTAATATCTAATACTACTTATAATAAATCCGTATAATAGATTGTATATTTTTCTCATGATAAAAAATAAATGTACAAATAATTTTGAACACATAATGGATAATGCAAACAACAAATTATTATTGTTTCCAGAAGAACAATTAATTAGCGTTGTGAAAGACCTTTTTACCGCTGGAGTAGAAACGACAAAAAACACAATTGGCTTCATAATTACGTACCTTGTAGTGAAGCAAGATGTGCAAAAAAAAGTACACGAAGAAATCGACAGAGTGCTTGGAAAGGAAATTTTGCCTCGCATAGTATATAAAAATCGGTACAACGAATAGAATATTGCTTGACATATTATTATTTTTTTCATTCGCATACAAATCTGTTGCACAGAATATACTACTAAAAATTTTCAGATTACCATACTTGAACGCAACAATAGCGGAAGTAACGAGACTGGCGAACGTCGGTCCTACTTCAATTCCTCATCGGGCTATGTCTGACACCACTCTGCTGGGTTACGAGATAAAAAAGAATTATACCTTGCTGGCTAATCTGCGAAGCGTACATATGGACGAACAGCATTGGGGTGATCCGAAGGAGTTTCGGCCTGAAAGATTTATTAATGACAGAGGAGAGTACGTCGAGGACCCTTGGTTAATACCGTTCGGTTTAGGTAAAGGAAAATGCAAATACTTTATAACAGTGCTAAAAATTGTAACATTAATGATTTGACAGGTCATAGAAGATGCTTGGGCGAGACCTTGGCGAAAAACAACATATTCCTGTTTGCTGCGTGTTTGCTACAGAAATTTCAGTTCGTGTTACCTTCAGAACATCCTGATCCTATTTTAGAAGGCATTGATGGTTTTACAATCGCACCACCTCCTCTAACTGTTGTTGCTATCAAAAAAACGTAATTGCTTATATAATAATATTATTATAATAACGCACGCATACACGATCGAGATAAAATCTATACAATATGATATTTTATATGAAAATAATTGTAATAGTTTATAACATTTCATAACAGTTCATAAAAGCAGAACTAATAAAATGGTTTCATGCTATTTTTAAGAAGGATTGCGATGATTAATCATCTTTTTTTTTTTTTTTACAATAGCGATTATCTTTATTTTATTTTTAAATACAAGTTTCTATCTCAAGTAATTGTTAGAAGATTCTATTTACAATTAATATACAAGTAACATGTTCTTCTATTCACAAGAGAAATGTTTACAAGAAGTCTTTTTACTACGTCCCATAATATTCAAAGGAACGTTATTCATTTTCGTCGTTGGCCACTTGTTGTACATTTGGCATAATTCGAAATGTCGAACCAATTACATAATCGTTTTCTTCCGCTTCATATCGAACGCTATGAATAATGGAAGACGACAGAATCCAAATAAAAGTTTTACCAAACATTTACGAAATAACTATATATAATATTTTTTACTTTCAATGTTTCGAGTCATCAGTTGAATTAATGAAAAAATTATCGTAGATATTATTTATCTCGAAAAAATTAATTAGTATATTATAACGTGAAATTTAAAGTTGGGAATAATTTTTCGTAGTAAACAAAATATATATTTGTATATACAATCAGAAGATACATGACTGACACAAATGTCAGTTCTGATTGATATAATTTCTATGAAAGATGTACACTTGCAATACGCAAACGTCAATAATTATAGAGAAATATGTCCGTATAATCGGACATATGATATGATATAGATGTATAGAGAGAAATCGTTATATGTCATGAGAGAAATTCTGAGTTCTATTTACACTAAGAATTTGGAGATTCGTATGGTCCACAAAGATGCAACTTTTCTTTATGATAATGTCAAAAGTATACATACTCATTATGATCCAACAATGATTAATCGGAACTTTAAATGACAACATTCTCGGTGGTACGGTACAAACACTTTAAAATTTTAATAAATTTATTTTTAGTAAATTTATATGATCACTGGCTGATATATTTAAAAGAAGCCATTGGTCAGATTAACAATTAACACATATATATAATATCGATAAATTAACACAATGAAATAACAAAATCACCATGACCTGACAACTGTGATGGCAAATAGAAAAAAAAAAATCCGTAACAAAAACATAAATATAAATAATTATATAAATATGCTTTTTTTTCTTTTCGGTGTTAATACCAAACCACGCGAAAAGTAATCTCATATATTATATACATATATAATATGATTGTTAACCATCAACTACATATCTCATAGAATCAACGGATGGTTCCAGAACCATCAAAATTCACATGAGTCTAACAATAAATCCGATGATGTCTAGTTAAACTTTAAAACATGACACAATATCTCAAAATTTTATTATTTACATTCCTCGTTTAGGAGAGCCATCGACAATGTCTGATCTGTATGTCAAGATCATTCACAGCCTTATAATCAGCTTCATCTTACAATTTGTTCATATTATTAATTAAATCTAGAACCTACCATAAACAGCACTATCTCAACAATATTTCTAAAAAATTTACGTGCAAAAAAATTAATATTTTTTAACTGCAAAATTAATGTAAAATTTAATTTTTTAGTACTTTTATTTTTAATGATATTTTTAATAAATTGATGTATACAAATTAATTCCAGTAGCAATATATTGCCAATACGTTGGTTAAATGTTGAAACATTAAACCAATATTCTGCCATTAAATTGTGTATTACTAAAGAATTGGATTAATTACGATATCAAATATTTGTAACAAAAAAACGAAAGATTCATAAATAAAAATTAAACCTATTTTTTACAATACAGTTTTCCAAAAGGCACGTAAATTTTTTAGAAATAACATTATACTATATCATCAGAATTACTTTACAGAATTAGAGAGACTTCAAATATATATACATATCAAATATATTATATATATGTATATATCTCAAAAAAGATATATATATATATATACATATATTGCAACATTGCACTCTCCCCTCCACTGCACAAAAGGCCGATGATCGACAAGAGCGTCACTAAATTATTCTACACAATTCCCAGACTGTTTCCAAGCAATAAATTCTTGACTCGAATTGATTCGAGACTAGATGACATCCCGCCTACGCGAACCTCAAGACGACAATGCCAGACCTAACCGTGCGAAAACCATTTCCTTTCTTAGCCGCGTGATCTCCCAATAAACGTCATGAACTGCAGATTAAAATATTTCATTATTAGCAGAAAAGTAGGAAATAGTTCAAAATTATGTGTAATATATAAGAAGTCATATTTGTCCAAGTCTGCTATAAATTTTTAAATGCATGATAAATATAAACAATGTATTTAAAAAATATTATACATAAAATTTTCTAATCAATTATTAAACTACAGTTTGTTAAGTGCTTTAATAAGATTTATTATTTATATTTATTTATACTTTTTATTCTTAAGACATACCTGAGCTTTTGACGAGACCGCGCTCGATGTATCTCAAATAATTAAGAAAGTCACACACTGCAATAATCTACAAGAGGAAAAACACATAATTTTTTTACAAAATATAACTTTTAAAGAAAATTTTAAAGTAAATTTAAGTAATAATTATATGTAGAACTTACTCGATTGCGACAGATCTGCGAAATACAATACCACTGATTTTCTTGATCACCAAGTCGCATACGATAGTGACATTGTCGTGGTGCTTCCAACAGCGCACATTTTCTGGGATCGAAATATTATCATCATTTCATATACAAAAATTTTTTAGAAATATTCTTAATAATATATAAATAATAATATGTAATTTTCTAGCAGCAACTTTGCGGTCTTACGAATTACAATACAGTACATTAGATGCGTTACAAAAACGTAAAGTTGCAAAGATTCAAAAACAGCAATATATGATATTAACGTATCAAAAAAATTATAAATGTATTATTATACAATGTAATAATTACGAAATGTATCTATTCGATTATCCTCTAAACGACACATGAAATCTCAGTCTTTTTTTTACAATACGAAGAAACATGGCATGTTTTAAGATAGTGAAAAGCAAAGGACGTACTTGGGAAAAGCGAGTTTCGTTTTGTCGCTGACGGCCTCAATAAATATAATGCCATCCAGAACGGCTTGTCTGACCTTGGCTCCCAATTCTTTATTCGGAAAATCCAAGCAAAGATCGATATCCTCCTTGAATACTCTTGCAACGAAGGGATCGCTCTTATCGACGCAAGGATTTGCCTTCCATCTAAGAAATTCTGTATGCACCCTCGGATCGACTTCCAGACCAAAATCTTTGCATTCCCTTTCCTTCTCCTTCTCACGATCACGTTTCCAATCCCTCTCGAGAACCTCTTTGTCAGTCGGTAAAGGCGGTCTTTGTTCTTTTATAGGCGAATCAGGAGGTGAATTCTCTCGACCATATTTTAAATTAAAGTGCGACGGCGATCTGTGTAGCAGAATTGTGTGTAAATTAATTTTAAACGTATTTCTAATTTTATTTTAACTTGCAAAAACACATGCAATGACTTTTTTCTAGTTTATTAAATAATTATTTATTTTATTCGTATTTTAAATTATATATTAATTTTAATTTTAATATTAACTTTTAAATACATTTTGAATTACAATTCTGTCTAATATTTCAACCATAACACGTAAAAATACATTTTTGCAATTACCAACAAAAGCAATAGAAATGTATAAATATTATAAAATATTGTTTAAATTTATCATTTTCATATTCAAGATGTTCGGCATAGTTTTGCAAAATTATAAATTTAAAAGAAAATTTTCTATTACCTCCGGTGTTTTTTCATAAAGAGCCCTTGTTGGTTCTCTTCCCCGTTACTAACGCGTGCCTTTGTGTCGATTTGAGGATGCAGATGAGGATTGGGCCGTGACGGTGTAGACGTGAGTACCAAAGTTTTCAAAGCCGCTACTTCAGCTGCGAGAACTTCTGATTTCATGCGACTCTCTTCCAAGAGACGCTCCGCTGTCGCTTGACGTACATTAGCTTCTCGAACCATATTATGTGCCTCCTGAACATATATTTTGTAAATAATCTAGTATCCTTTACAAAATTTAATTTCTTAATAAAATCATCTAATATCATTTTATAAAGAATCATTAAACGTATTAACTTAAACCTGAGACATCAAGGATGATTACGTTTGTTTTTCTGTTAAACTTTTAACAACTTCCAACATTTCCACATAGACAACTTTAATTTTGTATAATTAGAACTTTGTTTTTTACATTTTAGAATTGTGTATCTTGTTCTTTCATTTAATTTCTTCACTTTTGTAATATGTGACTAACTTGAAAGAGACTGGCAGTGAGTTCTTCGAGCTCAGCTTCTACATCTTGTCTGATCCGAGAAAGTCTAGCCACTTCCTCATCCTTCAATTTCAATTCTTCATGAGCTCTTTTAAGTTCCTCTTGCAGTTTCGCTACTGCGTGCTCCTTTACCTCGGCCACTGCTCTTTCCCATTGCAGAGTGGTAGGTGATGGCGGACTGTTGATTTTTTTAGGAACACACAGTAACTCCTGTTTTGGTAATTCTTCCGGCTGAAAAAATTTTCACAAATATTTTATAAATATTAATAAATACAGTACTTATTTTTTAATATATATATATATATATATATATATATTTATAGTTTACTTTTATGTTGTTATTTTAATTTTCCCCATTTTTGTGAGATGAGATAAATTAAAATATGGATAAAAAAAAGATTGAAATTACCAGCGTATCTTTAGGAAGACAAAGTCTCTTAGATGATTCGATGGAATTGTTTTTTTTCAAATCCGTATTGGGTTTCTCTTCGCTAGCTTTTCCCACAGATTCAGTTTTGTTCAATCGAAAATCCAAAGGTTTCGTCGTATGTTGAGCTTCAGATCCCGAGACTTCCAGTTCGTGAGATTTTAGCTTTTCGCAGGACTTTGCGGGCTTCTTTTCTTCCAATGGATTTCGATGTCGCGACAGGACACCTTGTAGTTTTTCGTTGTACGTGAATAGCGGAGTAGTTTTGGTTGAGTTGGAACTAAAATATGCAAATTTCATTATAATCAATATAATTGATAACATACAAATACATATAATAACAATAATAATAATAGTTAATATACTATACTACAACTTCAAATATCAATCGAGTATCTTGAATATAACGTTCGTGCAGTTTTTGTGTAGTGAAGAAAACGAATTTTGCAATTGCATTGCAAAAGCATTGCTGATGCTGCATATTCGATAAAAAGAATAAGAAAAAAGACTGAACTAATTGTAAGTTGGAATAACTAATTATTGAACATAATTAAATTGAACATAATAAAACGTAAAGTCTATTTAATTTTAAAGTAGAAAATGTTTGCAGAGTAAATCTTTCAAATTAGAAACAAATTTTTCGAATGTGTCTCCAAAAAAGAATCAATTAAACATCCTTTATGCTTTGTAAGATAACGATTTCAATAAGAAAACTGAACAATCAATGCTTAAACGCACCTATCATCTAGGAACTTGTTGTCATCTTCGTCGAATAGACTAGTGGGCTCTTCGTCCTCGTCCTCGCGCTTTGTAGCATATCCGAAAAGATCCGTAGCTGCCCTCGCGAGGTCTGATTTAAGAATAGGATGAGGTGGATGCAGCGTAGCACAATCAGCTTCGTCTGTATAAAGCTCATCCTCGTCCGTAGTGTATTCCTCGTCGCCGGTTGTTCCGGTACTTCCAGCCCTTCTATGCTTCGTCGTAAGCGGTCGATAGGCGTATTCATTCGAGCCGGAAACCAACTCGTTGGATTCCATTGACTCAGGCTGTTGCTGCTCCTGGACTTCCTTCATGATGCCTCACTGTGACCGGATGTAGTCTTCAATCTTGCTACAACATTTGATACCTCCGTTATCTCAGAAGTGATATGAACAAATTTTCCTCTCATATTTCTTTTTATCATCGAGTGTGCTCTATCATTTATATTTCAGGAACACTCCAATAAAGGTCTATCAATATGAATATTATAAATCAATATCATAAATGGTAAATAATCGATTTTGTAATTTGTTAAAAAATTGAAAATTAAGACAATCAGTTATAAAAAATAACTGTTTAATTTAATAATTAATAAGGTAATATTTTACATTTTAAGAGTTCAATATATAAATAATACTTTGAGTATTATTTATATATTGAACTAATTATATATTTTACTTAATTTATTACATTAATTTGTAACATATTAATTTATTCTTATAATTTATTATATTTACAAAGTGATATTCATTTTGTTTTTAACGGTATATGATGTGCGAGTATTGCACGATTGTACGATATTGCGGTATTTGATGAAAAACTAATGAAAAGTTTCTTTGTGCGCCCCAATAATCATAAAAAAAATATTTATTTTAATAATAACTCGCGAATTTCAAGCATTCCTTGCACGTGGGCATCAATATGGACATGCGTGCTCCAGCATAATTCTCTAGTTGTTGTGTAAACACACCTCAAGAAATTTAAGTTTATTAACACTCCAACCACGTCAAATAAGTCTATTTATTCTCTAGGTCAGTTACGCAATCGTCGTAAAGTTACATGCGAAAATTTAATTAGTAACAACCGAATTTAGTATCTGCTCTTTAATAAATATTATGGTATTCTTAATTGCTTTAATTATATATTTATTAAACCGATTTAAATAAATATGAAATATTACACAATTGGACACGAGTCTAGTATAGAATATCTTATTTTTAGATTTACTTCTTCTGACATTATTTCGTTTAACTATTCTAATACTTCTCAACCACTCCAATACTTGTGCAGTTACAATACAATTTGAAATAATGAAAAGGAACGAATGTGCACTATCGTGCAGCACGCATATCCTTACGTCATCCTTCCACATCATGCACGTGATATTTAAACGGGGAATTCATATATCCACTTATATCCTTCTAAAAATCAGAAACAATTAGAAATTAGCGAATTTCTATTTCCTTTGCAAAAATCGTTAATACAACTTATCCCACATGACACTAAAAACATGATAATAAATTCGTGTTATTATAATTAAATGCAAGTATATTATTAATTTTATAGTTAAATCTCCGATAAATATAGCACTAATTAAAAAATTGACTATATTAATAATACACTCAATTAAAAGGTACAACCGTATATTTTTCCCGGTAATTCCCAGAATACGAGTAAATTTCCGGCTTAATACCGCGAAATAGCGCTAATTGCCGTGTAAAGTATGCAGAAAAACACTTTGCAATTCCATTTGCATTCACTTATCCAATTGCTTCCATCGGTGCTGAAAATCTATTAATTTAGGAGTCTTGAGTTTTGAAAAATTATTCAATATATATATATATATATATATATATATATCTCACTTGTTTCTTCATTTTCTAACATGTGATGATAGGTGCTGATAGACGGACTACAATTTCTGCTATCAGAGTCACGAGACGACACTAATGATTCGTTCGATATATTCGAGGATTATTCCCTTGTATACTCGCGAGGTAGGCCGTTAACAATGTAATAGGCGGTACTGCGGGATCCACCAAGATGATTTCCTTGGGGGCTATATAAGGGACGCGCGGGGATTACGTCACGGTTAAATCGTGATCGCGCGAGAAGGCGGCGAATGGTACAACCGGGCACACGCAGCAAGCTCTCTCTCTCTCTCTCTTTCTTTCTCGTTTTCCCTCTCTTTTTTCTGTCATCGCGGGTCACAGAAAACTGAGCGATAACCACAAATCAGAGACGTATTTTTTTATTAACTCAAAAGATTTAAGTCGGTTAATATTTTTATAAAATTGAAAAACAATATATATTAGTACTCAAATATAAATATCTAAGCTACGTTTCACATTTAACAATTTGATTTTATCAGAATTTTTTCAATTTCTATATATGTGTGTGTGTGTGTGTTATAAGTCAATTATTGCAAATAGGAAATTGTAAAAACGTGGAAGTTCGGATTAATAATATCCGTATTTATAATTTAATAACAAAGAGAAACAAGAAGACAGAAGGGTATTTTATTTGCACTATTTCGCGTTAGCGAGGCCGGTAATCTCATAGTTAATTATCAGTCAACACGAAGAGGATTAGATGAGGGTGCGATTAACATTTAGAGAGGAAACATCACGTTTCCTGTGAGTTTCTGGCACGATATAGTGGGTATACAGTCCTGGCCTTGCGCTCTCTCTCTCTCTCTCATGGCTTGCGTGTGCTAGTTAACGTAACGTATACACGCGGTTTTTGAATTGACAGCATCTCGATAGTGTGAGTGCGTATGCGTCTACCGTTCGCATGTGTGTAAGCCGCGTGCGACCGCGTACCAGTCGCAGACCCGCTCTATGAACAACGTATACCTATCACGACAGCGAGGGAATGTGTCTATCGCGTTTTCATTTTGCCGAATATTCTGGGCAAAAGACCTTCTATTTTGACGTGAAATCAATGACAGTTTTGAAATATGAGACTAACATAAAAGCACTAAAGCAGGAGTTGGAACTTCGATGTAACTTTGTCGAATTCAGATTTCTACTCGCAATAAAATTCACGACAATTTAAAATCCCTTCTTGCTTACAAACTTTTCTTGGGATTTAATTTTTGAAATCGAACTGGTTTGAATATCATCGAAGTGAGATCCGAAATAGCAAGTCAGAAATTTCGAATAAACTTCGCGTGGTCATCAATAAAGTGTCAATTGAATTGAGATTCTCACTATGCCGCAATCTGTTCTCATCTGATTTCTAATAGCATAGATAAATCGAGAATCTCTTCTATCTGTTCTTCTCATCAACAAGTAATATTTTATTCATAAGATAAACGCTGTTCACTATTCATTCAAATAAACGCTTGCTCTCGTTTTCTCTCCACAATCAACAAAGTTAGAAAAGAAAATAGTACAAGTTTTACATGAATAAATTATAATTCTTTATTGAAACAAGTTAGACCACCACACTGCGATTTAAATCGCATGTATCTAAAAACAAGATGCAGCGAGATTTAAGCCTGTTTTGCAATGTGCTCTTTGTTTCCTATTTCTTGCTTTCTTCCCTCTTTGCAACCGTTTCATTGACAATTATATTTCTTACCACGTATATTTCTTGTTTCTTCCGACGTTCGTTAACTTTTATCTTGAGCGATAAAAAACAAAAAACGGGATAAAAAAGGCAAAAGGACAAGATGTAAAAAAAATAATAGAAAGCGAGAAACCAAAAACAGAATGCACATTGTAGAACAGGCTTTAATTCTACAATATAACAAAGTTCAAAACAAACAGCGATAACCCGAAAAGTTGATAGCTAGATAATTAATCGTGCAAGTTTATCAATGAATCAAGGTTTCGAATAACATAATCGTACGTAATAAGTATTAAAGATACTTCTACCTTGAGAATTATAGCGAATATAGACCTCAATTCATATGACCTAGATGCATGTAAGAGGGACGTAATTTAATTTCTCGCTCAGTATAGTCACGCCTGCAGTTAAGTAGTCTATTAACGAATTCACAGTACAGAATTTGCAATTTATCTAATTATCATGTATTACTCGTTTTTACTCATATTTATTACGGCAATACAATAAGCGTAATAAAAAGACGTAAACGTATTTGTAAACAAGTTTGTAGAGTTATCACAAGATGTTATTCTAATGATTCTAATCTAGCTAATTTGTTACATATCATATTTTCACGAGAGAGAAAAATAATTAAGATTTCATCGTAAAAACGACGAGTATAGAAACTCGCCGAACTTAATACATTTTGCTTTTGCGATGACACTATCTGATATATAATGTAACGTCATCAAGGTCGTGAAACGCGTGCAGGAGGGCAAAAAGATTTAGAGGCGAAATCGAAGCGTGTCGTTTTTACACCTCGTTGCACGATTTGACAGCTCGGACAGGCGCGTTTTAATCTCGCCGTATACGTCTTCTTTTATACGGAATAATTATCATACATTGATTGTGAGGGACATGTGTGCTCCGCGCTGATATATACTACATTGTAACCTTCAGTTACGCGGAGTACAGCTGCACCTTTCTTTGTCGATAACGTATAGCGTTCGAGACCGATCTGCACAATTCACGCAGCATTTATCGCATACTGCACATAATGCAATTATTTGTTTTTTCTTTTTGGATGTACGTCACGGCTGACAAATGCACTTTCACGCGTGCACACGGCGCGCTGCGTGTACTCTTTCATTCTGAATCATAGACTGCCGCGATACGGAAGCTGCAATATAGAACTATTGTGTAGTTCCCTATTGTAAAATTGACACACCACTTCGTGAATGATAGAGACAATGGTGCTGGTTAATCCAATGTTTCATTTCGCACTCTACCTATGCACTAAACAGTATGTAGTTTTCACCGAGTAATTCGCATACGCCATTTATGCCTCCGAGATGAGCTATACGCTCGCGAAAACAATAATGCATAATTTAACGAAAAATAAAACGAATAATAACGCGCATAAAATTTGTAGGTCTTTGCTCTGATGCAAATATCTATCGTAAAATCAAAAAAAGTCTATTTATCCTCATAAATATTACATAATATGAAGATTAAAGTATACGAGATGAAAGAATATATATTATACATATACGTGTAAAATAAAATATAAATACAAAAAATATATATTACATCTTTTACTGCACATATTTCTGATGAAACTTGTAAGAGAAATAACTAAAGAAAGGAAAGGGCTTCATCAACTTAGAGAAATCATGCATAACTTTTCTAAGACTTGACCTTTAAGAAAGAAGCTGCCAAAGATAGAATAAAAGACTGAATGCTTATGTGCGAGGTAAATATCTTATATTTATAAAGATCACGATGATACGGCTAACAACATAACTATAGCAGGAGAATTACGAGAAGATGGGAATGGAAAGAAATATGGAAGTTATTTCCCACGTACGTCAGAACTGATACAATGCATCCAGTACTAAAACAACATTAACGATACCCATAGAACCTGCAAACCTTGCAAAACATAGCCAAGGTCGTAATTCTATGTGGAGATCTTGCGAATGCACTAGTTCTTATCAGACGAACTAATCGAATTTATGATTAAGTTTCTCACAGATTGAAACTATATACCACTAAAGCTATAAAGATGGTGAGAAAAATATCATTTAGTTTTTTCCAATGTTCATTTTAAATATTTTCTTCATTTTATATACCACATTTAATTTTCATTTTATACATATCATACCAGATTTAATTTTCTATCATTATATTAAGTTAAATCCAATTTAATTTAATAATTTAATGCAAATAATAGCTTTTTTGTACAAAAAGAAATTAAAAATCATTATATTAAAAATTTTTTAATTTTTTAATTATACTGTAAATTAAAATTGCTTTTTTAATATTGGCGGAATATAAAAATTTATTCGATGTATTCAGAAGCATGTACCTGTCAAACGTACGCTCGAGCAATTATTTACAGTAAAACGCTCGCATTTTACCTTGCCGCAACAACCGATGTTCGTTGCAATCGGTTATTCAACGATTACAAGGCTTATACATTACAAAATAGAGATACAAATAAATCGGAAGTGCGTTATCGCGCGACCAATCTCTGATTTTCAATTGATAACGAAGCACCTGTTCAACCCAATGCGATTCTAAACGGATATATTTTGAAATAGTTATATGAGGAATCAACAAAACGGGAAATGGGAATGAATAAATCACATATATCCAACGATTGAAATGTCCAGCAGCGTATATTTAAAACGCGTTGTGTGACGACTCGTCCACCCTTTCTCTCTTTCGAGAGACAGATGCTTTCCAAAATATTCTAAATCATCTTCTGACAAGAGGAGAACGCTGCGTTGCGTATTTCACTCGCTCGACGCAATTTCAATCTATGGCGACACAAATGGAAAACAAAAAAGTTCCGAGAAAGTGCGCCGGTGCTAATTTTCTACACGCTCCGTCAATCAAACCGCCCGGCCAATCTCGGAGCAAATTGCTATCGAGAGCGAAGGTCGGGTTCCGCTAGATTTGACGTTTGACGTAAACTATGAGTGACTATATAGTAAAATTAATAAACGCGTTATAAGCTGTCTCTGAAAATATGTGACTGTACCAAAAGATCCCTACCCTCGTTGATCGCAATAAATACAATTACAATCGACATAACGTATAAGATTAAATATCAAACTTATTGTCATTGCTCTCACTTATATGTCACCGTGCTTATCCAATACACTTTGCAAATCCAATTTACGCGTCTGTGACGCACGCGATCAACGCAAAGGTCAAACAATCGCGATTCAGTATGGGAGATTCTATCTTCGTGTACCTACTCGCTCGTACGAATTTCATTTATCTCGCAAACTAGAGGTGGCAAGCCCCGTATTGCAAAGATATACGACAAGTGCAAGATGAGAATCGTCCCCGAGCGATTACGCTAGAAAGAAATGTCAGCCGCGCGAAATCTCGGAAATGACAATACCGCAGAAGCGAAGTGACAGTCGAGTTTCCCCGATGGCGAGAGACCTACCTGTCAGGTGAAATCTCAGCACACTTCGAAATCGGCGACATTCGTCACGTCAGTTCGAGTGATAAAATATGGACAACGATCGATTGCAATGTCGCGACTGCAAAGTCAACGATAGACAAAGGCAGAACTGGTAAGAGTCGTGAGTCACTGAATCCGCACTTCGCGGTAGTTCGGCACGGACTGAACCTGCTATACTCTCTCTCTCTCTCTCTCTCTCTCTCTCTCTCTCTCTCTCTCTCTCTCTCTGTCTCTCTCTCTCTCTTTCGGAGCCTGCCAATGATCTCTCCCCTCCTTGGGAGACCTGGCATCGCCTCGATCATCATCTTCCTCGCCGTACATCATCAACCTGCTGTAGCGATCCACGAGAAGTTACGTTGTGCAACTACAATGTACAAGTGGTGGTGTCGTATAGTAGAGCGTTTCAAATAGAATCGTAGAGCGAATTGAAGAGTCGAACACAAGAATGAGGAAGTTCACAATTTACAATTTTAGACCTGACGTCATTTTCGAGTCAAGCCTTAAAAATCATGTATTTATTCCATTGGGTTCTGCGATTCTGGGCTTTCATTGATAAAAATGTATAATCAACTTCCTTATCATTTATAAACTTATGTTATATTTTAGTTTGTGAAGATCGGAAGAAATGAAAAATATAATATACAGGATTATATCTACTATATATAAAATACTATCAGGAAATAAGTTGTTTATTGTAGATGATTTTTTTGTTAAATTTTTCTCAACAAGAAGATCACGAAAGATCATTATTTTATGATTATAATTTTTCAAACTTCAATATTTCAGAAACAATAAAGCTCAAAAACAAGATTTTATTAAAAATTCAAATTATGTGTAAACTAGAAATAATATAATATTGTTCATCACGTATTTTAAACGTAATTCACGACATATTGTCAATTTTACTTTGATTAGATGATTACATGAAAAAAAGTGTAATATAAAAACAATTCTTGAGGAATAATTTATCGCGACGAAAAATCTGTCTTTCTCTACTTGCACAGGCAATTATTGATAATTATTTACACTTTTTGCAAGAATTGTTATTGATTGTTTGCAGAAAAAATAGAGGGATATTTGTTCTCACTCGGCATCGTGGGTCATCTTCAACTCTTTCTATTTGCTCACAGTAAGACTCGCCAGCCGTCTGTTTCTCCTAGCGAAGCAACAAGCGCGCCACTGATGACTGGTTGCGTCTTCGTCTGGAGCACAGGCTGTCAGTTGGTTGCATATTTCCAATCACGCTTATATATTTGCATTTAATACTTGATTTTCCTCTCGCACGAATTCCCTTCCACTTATTCGCTTGATAGCTCTCCCTCCCACGCGCAGTTTTCGATAATAACATCATCCCTCTCCCATGCCTATCAGTGCTCGAGTAGGCCAGCTAGCTAGAACGTTAATTATAGCGTCCGTAATTGAGTTTGATAGGGCTCAATGAGATAAGTGTGACCCTTGATGCGCGGCCTCTATGTATGTACTATGCGGTTGGGAGCATTAACATTAACCATCTACTGGTTTCATCCTACGCACATGTCGACTATTAAAGTCATCCGACGTAATTTCTTTTTTCCAGGAAGCACAGAAATAGTTTATTCTTGCTATAAATCTATGTCGTAATCCATCATCCCTCTGCGGCAGAATTAGCTTTGTTGACATCAAATATAATAGAAGGGTTTTGTTCGATTTCTTGTTCGTTGAATTTTTAAACATGTTTACTATTCGTTCCTTTACTCTGCAGCTACAATTAACGCTGGAAGCAACATTAAAAGCTTCCATCATACCTTCCGGACAATTCTGTCTGCTCGCAACTTGAATGCAGTTGAAAACTTTTCTTACGTTGCAACCATGATGCATTGTTCGCTGCGTTGTGCTGCATCCTCGTTGCTAAATAAACTTTAGCTTCGTGAAATCTCAGCTGCATCCTGTTGATAATAAAAGTTCATTCACCAATTTAAAGTTCGATGTAGCGTTTTTTTAATTTGTTATTTACAAACCAAATTTACAAAAATACCTGTTTGTTTTGAAAAAGTTGTGTGTGTGTCGCTAAAATATATAGAATAATCTTTAAAAAAAGGTATCTCTGCCAGAGAGGAAAAAATATTTATTTCTCTTCATAATTTTGAAGAAAAAAATGTTCTAATATTTAATGATTAAATAGAACACACATGGAAAAATTTTAAGAAAACTAATTTTAGACACACGCAAAGAACGAAGTAAAGAAAATTTATCCGTTAGATTAGATCTTTTAACGAATTATTTTTGTGCTCAGATAGCTTTCATGGAATTAAATGAAACGATTTTATCAAGGAAACAAAGATGAAGAACTTTGCCAAAAATATCTCTTCACAATTCCTTGCTAAATAATCTAAGGTTTTTAAGTGCATTTTAAATGTCAGCTATTGTAAACAAGAACTAATACTGTGAGAAATTCTTCGAGATGTTCGATAAATTTATAGGAAACCGTGAAAGTCACTATTCTTTGCAATTCGTATACACATATACACGCCACATACGAATGTAATTGTGCGCGTGAAACGTTATTCTCGGCTATTTGCGTGCGATTTCGTCACTTTTGGCACCGATTTCACCTCGTTGAACAAATATACAAAAACATATACTCATATGCGAAAAATAGATGCTTATATGATGCGACTGAATGGAATTTGCAAATAAAATTCTTATCAACAAGACATTTTCAAATTTCACAGAACTCTGGGGAGTATTTTCCGTGTGCAACAGGCATCCGCAATAAAACTTAAAAAATTTATATTTTGAGGTAAACTACACGGCGTCTGAGTTATTAAAATTTCAACAGCGGTTGCTGCCTATTAAATTACATCTTTCAATATTCACTATGTTCGTCGCAATTCCAGCTAAAAGAGAATACAATTTTAACAAAAATTTTGTTCTTTACATTCTTTTCTTTTTTATTTAGCTTAAAAAGGTTGTTCTAAAAAACTTTTAAGAATGAATGAGAACTTTGCATATCTTTCATTTTTTAAGGGAAGTAATTTTATATTTCAATCCTAAAAGTATTATACAAAAATTCCAAACAATAAAAATTGTAAAACTTCATTTTCAAATCTTTACAAATATAAAAGTATGTATATATTAATCTATATCAGCAGATTAAGCAATTATCAATCTCATAGACCAACTAAGGTTTTCAACTCTTTGCTAAATGAATCGACACACTCATGCATAAACAGGGGCCCGATAAAAGGGAACAAGACGGTGTACAATTCCTCACACAGTCATACAGTACTCCAAGCTTATTTTTAACGTGCTGTCGATGCACCTAGGCTTACTAGCGTCGCTGCAGAAATTCCATACGCATACATGATATTACATACGTCGCATATATAGGTATATCTATATGGCTATACTGCTGCGACAGTATCGCGCAAATCATGTGTAGATACATGCTCTCACGTTCCCCTCGGGCCGTGACCCGACTGCGCACGAGCCGTGGTGAATTCCATCGTGCAAAAGGGCCCCACGTAGAAGCCTATGCACGTGTGATGCAGGGTCGTGCTGTTAGATGGGTCACAAAGAGCAACTGCCCAGACAATGGGCCGGTGTTATAATGAGTTCGTTATTTTATTAGCAGCGACGCGTCTACGATGTCAACGAACTCACACATCTCGTATACAATGAGCTACAAAAGTACTCGTACACGATTCGATTTATAATTTCACGCACGTCACACATATTTTTTCAAGAGAACATATATGAAACTTTCATAAAGAAATATATCATCAACTTTTTTTTATTAAATTACGAACTTATTACGTATTGTTCAGTACGTGAACGGTGGAAGAAATTAAAAATGAAAATTGTTTCTAATCTTATTAATAAAATGAAAAATAATGAGCGAAAAAATCATGGAACATTATACATATAATATATACTTATACAGGATATTACAAAATAGCTAACAAAGAAGTAATTTATTGTAGATTACTCTTTATTAAATTTTTCTCAATAAGAATATCGCAAAAAAGTTATTATTTTAGTTGTAATTCTACAAATTTCAATATTTTAAAATCGAAACTTCAAAATGCGAATCTATTGAACGTTCAAAATATGTAAACCAGAAATATTATATCGTTGTTCAGCTAAGTGTTTCAAATGTAATTCGCGAAACACTTAGAAACTCGACTAGTTCCTAAAAAGATTAACATCATATCCGATTCCGATATCCTATAACATTATGAAAAATAGCGGAAAATCTCGTCGAGATATACTCATGTACGATATACATATGATACACCGGTTTAAAGATCTTATAGATCGGTTGGAATAAATTCCTCTGAGAAAGTGCACTCAAGCGAATCTATTCCGCTTCAAAGAGCGTAAACACCATACGGCGCACGAGATTCCACATGCGCAACCGTGGGATCGTAACACGTCCTCGCAGGATAGTTCTTGAAATCGCGTAATTATCTTTGATTTATGCACCACTAACCGGAACTGTCTGCAAGACTCTTGTCTGACTCAAATATAACTATATCAGAACCTAGAATGGAGTATGTGCTGTTACATAGGAATATAACACTTTTAATTATACAGTTTATCATATTTATGAATACATAAGATTTGCAAAAAATTTTAATTAACCGATTATAATATTTTCTTGCACAGACGAGTATTCAAGAATATCTGGATCGCGCATGACTTTCAATATACCCCACTAATTTGATAATAGTATTAAATATATATAATATTTGATAATATTATGAATATTGGTATCAATATAAAATTATCAAACGTCTAATTAAAAAAATAATTGTAGCTACATATTATATTATTGTTGTGTTTCGTGAGAAATAAAACGTAATATAAAACAAGAAGATATTTTTCTTATGTCGATAATTTTTTTCGATCAAAGAAAATATCGATGGAGAAATAATGTTATAAATGATCAAGAAATTATTACTCGAAATTTTGTGCTCTATGATAGTAACTAGACAAATATTTAAAAGGTTCAGAGATATATTACAAACACGCATCACTTCCGACTATATACGATAAAACGTATAAGATTTATGTAGCATCTTTGTATCTTCCAATGTGTAGTCACAGTTTTTAGTTATCTCCATCGGTTCCACATAGTAAACGCATGACGTTGCACGTGCATGT